AATTCACATTCATTAAATAGATTTAAATAAATTATTAAAAGAGAAATAAAAGCGTCAAAGAATATTACTACATAAAGTGCAGCGAGTAACGTTTCTCCTCCCCGTATATATCGCAATATATTTATCGCGCGGGATACGTGCTCGCGTTTAAGCGAGGCTGCTACTGGATAATGAACGTCCCAAAACGTCCCAAATTCCGGATGCGGGGCGAACACTATTTCCGCCAGGGGAGCAACAATTTCGTGCGGTTTTATATCACTCGCCCCCGGAGTCAACGCCGCGCTCGTGTATCGTCTTCAACGTGTGCCACATGTTGAAAAGTGCATACGTTCGACCATCGCAACACGTACGGTTTACGTGACAGGCCGCACCGTTCATTCCGCATTTGTTGCTCTTCCGCGAAATTTCCGTTATTTGCAAAAATAACATCGCACAATGCGTGACGCGTTCTTATTAGCATGAAACAATATACATAAAATTTTCATTACGAACAATTTCAAGTTTCAAACGTGATATATGTATATTTGAGAGTACTGGATAAATCAACTAATTATTACCTGTATCTATTATTATTTTATATCAAAGTGAACAACGTTAGATGATACATTTTTGTTGCTCATATTTCGCCAGCACTATGCTCTTAAATTTTCACCCGGTTCGCATTTTTGGGCTTTCCATTTCGATGACAGGCCAGTCGTGCAAATTAAAAGCGCGCAGCGTGGGTTCGCCGCGGGCAAACAATTTACCGTGGCCGCGACGAAATATTTGCTTCCTCATAAACAAACCTGGTGATCCAATTTGTGCAGGATGCATTTAGTTGGTTTCGACGCGCTGTGTAAGTTATCGATACATTATAGCAGTGAATGTTAATGAATTATTACAAAAACTATAAAACAAAATTTTCTTTGTTACAATTTTTCATAAAATCCTTTATTATTAATATTTATTTTTATTTATTACACTCAAAGATATGTAAAAAAAATACACTTAATAAAACATGCATTTAATATTAGCGCAATATTAATGTGCATCAATATTAACTTTTAGGATTAAATTTAATTAAATTTAAAAGCGTGGTACGTTGCATGAAAAGGCTATAAATACGTGATAGAATAATTTATAAAAATCCTTTAATTCTTGTCACAATGAGAATTTTTATCACAGAATGAACTTATCGCTATTTTAGTTAAATAAAAATATCTTTATTGTTGTCAATACACGAGGAATTATTTTAAGCGCATAGTTCAATGTCAGATGAAATTATATGTCAATTTCATTTTATTTGTCTTTATTGAAACTTTTATCGTGCAAGATACGTATCTGTAACATACAAGGCATCGCATATATTTTTTCACGAGCAATTTAACGAAGAAGTCGCGGGGTAAGCGAGTTTGTAGATCCGAAAGAGCATGTTGACACATCGGCTGAGCGCCGATCATGCCGCAGCCGTTACAATGCAATGCTATGTATCGGATATCTACGAATCATGCAGTACGTACACCTCACGTGTAACGCATCACGCGCCACGCATACGCCACATAGATTACCATGTTAAGACCAGCCTAGATAGGACTCTAAGCGAGATAGGCAATTGAGGGGCGAGCGGGCGTTGCGAGGCGACACATTCTCGTCATACCTTAGAATAATCTCAACGGCGATGAGTTATCAAAATTTATTTGCAAAATTTACTTTACGTTATTTTATGTTGCGCTCTTTCTAAAACGTAGGGATTACATTTGTTGATTTTTGTCACTTTATCGGAACGTTAACGAATCTAGAACAAAAAACGAACTTTTTGATACAAAAGCGATGGACGAATGGATTGCGTCAAATAGATGAAAGCTTTGACGTTTTTACAACGATGTGAAAATTGGAGAAGGATAGACAATAGCTGAAATAATCTGAATAAATAAAATTTTTTCGTAGCAGATATTTTTATATATTCCTCATATCTTCTCACGAGATTGAACTCCTAAAATATCTTATAAATATGTATGCCTTATATTATGTATGCCCTTAAATTTACACTCAATCGAAAAGATATGTGTTCGAAGAATTGTGTTTCCAGGTATCCTTCGCCTGTGGAATTTAAAGAACTTAATAATTAAATCGCGAGTACCGAAATATAACCGATGAGGAATATCGAGCGATGTTTAATTTACGCGCAAGCCTGCTCGGCTCGGCTGCCTACTTGAATCGTTAATATCCACCAGTGCTAATTCGACTCAACGGAGTTGCACGAGTTTCTCGTCTTTGTTCCCTCCACGGCGGCGCGCGATGGTTTAGCGATTGTGACGAGAACGCGTCGCGACGTAACGGTAGAGACAGTCGGAAAGACAGGCAGTTCCCTACCAGATCTTACCACCTTGCATAATGCATCGCGCGACGCCACTAAGTCAAAGGGGAAACTTCCCCTGAGGTGGAACGCCAGGAACACACACGTCTCTTCACTTCTCTCTTCACTTCTCTCTTCGTTCCTTATTGCTCAGCAATCCGTTGCGGATCTGTCTGCGGTCTCTGCTTCATTCTCTCTTGGTTACTTCTATCTTTCTCAATGCGATCGATCTAATTATCCCTTAATTGCCGAAACATTTATCGACTTGTCATCGGCAATCGCCAATTTTATAGACACATGCAGAATTATGACCAACGTGTCGTGGCAAAATCTGCAAAACAAATAAACTGTCTAGTTACTGAAGCGAACATTGAACTATCGTACCGTGAAGAACGAAAATCGCTAATAGTCGAATGTTTGTTTGTACGCAAAAATTTGCTGCACATCGTCAACTAGAGTATAAAAACCCGTAAAAATTTCTCATGCAAAAATAATTGACGTTTTAACCAAATAGTTACGCATTAGCGCGATCAAACATACGTGACTTTGGTGGCTGTTCGCTTCGAATTTGCCTGCGTCGAGCTTCACAGAGGAACACCGTGCGGTACGTTAATTCCAAAATCCTATGAAGCACTTCGACCATCGTCATCTTGTATGTATCACGTCGTACCTGCGTAGACGCTACGTGCGGACGGTGGTACAGTAATCTACTTCACGCGAAGTTTCCGCCGAGCTTGAGTTAAGTCGGCCGCGTCGAGTAAGCCCCCGGTGTTACCACGGCTGATGAGTCCGGGACACTTTGGGGTACGGTTACCGAAAGACGACACATTCTCATCGCCTTGCGATAGAAAGTCACTCGCCGACTTCGATATAGATTATCGATGATCTCTCTTTCTCTCGATACCGGCTTTTCAGTTTCGATCGATAGCACGATTGAATTCGTTTGTCGCATAGAGACTTGTTTTATTCATTTTAATCAATTTATTCATTTTAATCTGATTTTAATTATTTTTCGGGCAATTATGGCAGTTTTAATATGCGTCTTTAAAACAAACTTTATATTATTCTTATTATATTATTCTGGAGTTAGGAAATTTTCAGCTATACGAAAGATGAGCTTATTATTAATGTTAATTAAGATTATAATAATACATAGTTTTGAAAATAAATAATTGCTTTCTAAAAATTTAGGATAACTATATACTTTGGATAACAGTATATTATTTATTATCACTGACGGTGATGGAACGATCATAAAATTATAATTAGAAATTATTTAGTATTTTGTATTAATTATAGTTTGAATTTTAGATTGTGCAATCTATTACATGTAGATTTACACGTAGATGTACATATATATCTACGATATTAACACAGAGCTGAATTAGCTAACTCCAGCATACTCTGATGTTCTACATTTTATATGTGTTACGAAGTGGCATAATCATATAACTTTGTGTCATACCACTAGTTAACTTAGAAAGCTTATAACTGAGGGGAGTATATACTTCGCAAATGCGTTTATTCGGCACTATATAACGAAATTTTGGCCATATAGTTTAACATTAATAATATCTTGCACAATAGAACTTTAATGTGTATGTTGCCATTGTATTAGTCAAAACCTTTCCATATTTACATTATTCATAACCAAGATTTGTTTAAATGATTTTTACTTCATAAAAATGTAATGTCATACAATGTATTAGAATATATGACGAAATTTACTTTTAATTTTAAAGAACCAAAGCATATTTGTCACAAATTGCATTATTATAATTAAATCGAGTGATTCTATTCTCAGTATATTATTAAATCTAATGTTAAATATTGGTAAATCTAATCTAATTTCGATATCTTTTCTATTAATATTTAAAAGATATCTAATTTCGATATCTTTTCTATCAATATTTAAAACGAAATGTCTTTTAAATCTTTTATTAAACTTAGTTCAATTAACTATCACGCTGAATTATATCCATTTTTTGAAGAAATGCAAGACATTGATTTTTATTTCATGAAAATAAATTCCTCATTGATATAAAAATCGTGTGATTTTATATAAGATTTTATATAAGACTAGATATAGATATATTAATATCTTCTTAGATATTAGATTTATAAATGTGTATTTTTTATATCTTTGCATTAAATAATTAAATTAAGATAATTAAATATTGAAGAATGTAAAGAATATAAAGAATAAAATATTATATACAATATGGATATTATTAGTGTATAATATTAATTCAAAACAAATATTTCTTCTCATAACTAATAATTCTGTTTTAATTTTTATTGTTGAAATAACGGTTAAATATATAAATGATTAGTATTCTAAATTCAAAATTTACACTAATCATATAATTATGCAATTACTTATAAATACATTGCATAATAATTATTAATTTATTAATTTTGTTTTGAAATAATGTTGCAAAGTTTTTAATTAAAAAAAAAATGTTAATATAATGTAATCAATAACAAAATGGAATAACAATGAACGTAAATAAAAGATAGCGTAAATATAAGCTCATTTTTAAAAATATAATTAACATTTAAATATTTTTTAAAGTATAATTTCTGATGCAGATGCAACAAAGATACATATAAAACATTATTTATAAGTTTGAATATCAATAACATCATTTTATTATGCTGAAAAATTTCAAGATTTGAAATTTTAACGAGAAGGGAGTATAGTTTTACGTAAGATAAAATGTATAATTTGAATGATAATCAGTGCTATTGCGCAATTCATTATAAATAATATTATAGAAAGAAATGCGATAACATCCATATCGTAACGTTCGTACCATGGTTTATCGCTTTCACTAAATTGAAGATGATTTATTCCTTTGTGGCGCATCACGTATTCTATCCACCATATTACATTCTCGAGGCTGTCATATGGCCGATCTTTGAAGAGAAAACTGAGATACATCATCCTTTCTTTATAGCTAAACATAAATTAAGAGTCTATTAGTACAGGTTTACTATATTATATTAAGAAAAAGTTTCTTACTAATTTGATACAAATATTAAAACTATTGTAAAGTTATTTGTATTAGCATATCTTTATTCTTTATATCGATTACCAAGAAAATTTTTTAAATATGACTGTCAAACTTGATTTTTTTGTATAAATGAGACAATCAAAATAAAGAGCTATTTTAAAGTTATTAAATTTGTCACAAAATATTTTTCAAATACAATTTTTAATAAAATGTAAAAATATATAAGAAATTACTAACAAGATGTCAATAGCTACTGGATTTGTCATTGTACATGACTGATGAAGCCTTAATGGCAATTTGCGTGACGTTCATGATCGACGTGATAGCCAATATATTATATATTCTGATGGTCTCTATATTTTGTACATGTTATGAAATGGGATAATTATATAACTTTTTGTCATATTATTTAACTCAGAAAACTCATAATGAGGAAGAATACGTTCGGCATTCTACCTATACCTATATACCTGTAATACCTTTTATTATTAATGATCTCATGAATAGTACTATTAAGATTTTCTTGAGTAATTTCGTGTAATTTAATTTGTTTTGCCACGCCCAAGGAAACCAATCGCCGAATCCGATTTCCTTGTTCGGATATAATCGGAATTCCTAAGAGTGGAACCGCGTAATGGAAAGCTTCTTCAGTACTCTGCAATCCGCCTTGAGTAATAAACAGCTTGATATTCGGATGAGCTAGACAAACAAAATAATTAACATCGTATAAGTGGATTGTCGAAATAATGACTTCACACTTTTAATTTTACCAAGTACGCCTTGCTGTAAAAACCATTTTGAGATAAACACATTATCGAGCTTCCTCGGTAACTCGCACTCGAATTTCCAAACTATTTTATAAGGTAATTTCGAAAACACTTGAACAAAGTTTTCCAGCATTTCTTTTGGTAAAAAGTGACAGGTGATACAAGTGGTTCCAAAACTCACGTAAATAAATCCTTCCGTTGCATTATCCAGAAATTGACCTAAATCCTTGTCATCATTTCAAATTTAATATACATTTATTGTGAAATAATCTAAATTGATAATAAACAAACAATCTAGTTCAATATAATAACAAAAATAATTATTTTTAAAGTTTACATACGTTCGGTAAAGACGGTGGCGTTTTTTGTATATGAATGCCACTAAAAAACATGACATTTGGCTGCTCAGGTCTAGGGTATGTGTATATTGGGTGCTCATTTACTAACATCAAACTCATATTTTTCATTATGTCGGCGATTTTTGGTATGTCATTTCCAAAATATTCTTTAGCAATTTCGTCCCCATCCCCTATAGCTTCATTAATGTAAAAATAGATAGTACGCCACGTGTCAATAAAATTCCATAGTCTTTGCCAAATTGATGGTTGCTCCTCAGACAATACATCAAATTCCCAGTTTGAAGGATGCGATGAAAGTATAGGACCACCAAAAATGTATCGGTGGTAATTATGTAAGCCCAGAGTTAAGATTCCTATACAACGAGTTAGTCAATGTTAATTCTCTTGCCATTTTTATCCCAGAAGAAAAAATCAGTATTTTTATGTTTATAACAGAAAATGCTGTTATCTTGAGATATTAATTGTTTTTTCTTTAATTTACATATACATATCACTTGCATACTATATCTTACATGTATTGCATTACTTGCAGAAATCATCTTACCTATAAGAGGAGCATTAAATTTATGCGCAAGAACATTTATTACATAACATGATATTTGTTCTATAATAATCGCATCAAACTTTTCATTGCTGTTATAGAACTTTATAAAATCTGGATTTTTAAATAGTAGTCTGACATATTTGTTTGCCAATCTTGCTATGTCTTTCAGAAATTCGATCAGTGGCATTTGAGATATTCTTTTAAATCGTTCATTTATCGCTACATGTTGTGATATTGCAATTTCTGTATAATTTTGTAATGTCGAATCTTTTATCGGATGTGTAGTAAGTACGACCAGTTCGTGTCCACGTTTATGTAAGGCTAAACATAACGATCGATGAACTATCAGATGACTTTCAAAAGGTGCAACCATAATCACAAATATTCTTTTGGCACTTGCTGTATTACTTGTTAATAGAATGCATAAAAATAAAACGACAAACATTGTACAAGTAACTTCCCTCATTTTGCCGTTTTGTCTTTCTAAACTAAACTAAACTAAACTTTCTAAACTAAACTACTTTTTGAAAGTAACGAGTTATTCATATAAATAGTTTAGCCATTATTAAGAACCAAGGTTTCCCTCCTCAAACGTTTATTTTTTTAGAATATATTAACATAGATAATATATACACTTAAGTTATGTGTACATGTGTATGAATAATTATATGCATAATTATATGCATATAACTCAAGTATATATAATGTCATACTTACATTTATATCAAATCAAGTGATAAATGTGTAAAAGAAAAACATACTTTGTATTTAATATTTAGTTATTTTATTATTCTGTAGACGCGGATGCGTATTTTTACTTCTATTGTATCCTCTTCGAAGTTCACATCTTATTAAAGAGACCACAAAATCGTTTATTTTTTTGCGTTATTTTTCTAGCACACTAATTTTTTTATTGATTTATTAGAAATCCTTTTCTATTTTTTATAAAGTTAATACAAATCTTTTTTAATATAATTTTAAACATATTATCGTTATATATATTTTATAAAATTGTGATATATAATTATCTGTACATATGTGCTTAGCCTACAATTATTATATAAAATTAAATATTATGCAACTTTATAGAAATAAAAATAAAAATTTCAAGGTTTAAATAATAAGAAAGGAATAATAGATGTAACATTAATTTTTTAAAAATTTAAAAATTAATTTCAAAGTTTAATTATAACTTTACATATTTTAAAGTAGAATGTAATAAAAAATTGCAGAGATTGATAAGAAAGCTTCTATAATAAATTTTCTTTATAAGAAGATATGTTACAATAATATGCAATTATTGTTAACTTAAACAAAACTTTTCGTATTCTATTATTCTATTGTTTTATTATCTGATTTTACTAGAAAAAATAACACATTTTAAATTTAAAATTTATTTCTGCATTTATGTACAGCATATAAATTATATTTATATATAGAAATCGAAACATTAATATATAACTATATATAAATGTTTTGTGTGATTTTTCTTTACATAGCTTATGCGAAACATTCAAAACTGCACAATATGCAATTAAGGAATTTTTCATCTTTTATTGAGTAATACTCGTTGATTAATGTTTGACTATAGATAGAATGCATAATAGTATTCAAATAATATTTTATTATTATTCATTTATTCTTAATTTTTAACAAATGTATAATGTGGCTTAAGATGACATTATAGAAATTACGCATATGACAATACAAATTTTAAATAATTTAATAATATTATTATTATACATATCAGAATTAATGCGTTTTTGATTTGGTATATTTGTACAGAGAATTCGATATTATTCGTGCATGAAATTGCAAAATCTGATATAATGCCCACATAGAAATGCAGGATGCAATAAATAATATTATGGCGAAAAATCCGATGATATCCCAATCATATCGTTGATACCACGGTTCATCGCAAAGACTATTTCGCAAGAAAGATGTCCCATTTTGACGCATCACGTATTCAATCCACTGTACCGCATTTTGAAGACTGTCATACGGTCCGTCCTTGTAAAGTTTACTCGTATGTTCCATCCGATCTTTGTATCTAAAAATAAAGAATAGTTCTGTTATATTTTAAAACGTTTTCAACTTTTTTATTATTGTATTACGTCAACCATAATATAACATATAATATAACATAAAGAAAACTTATTTATTAGTTCGTAATTTATATAATAGTACCTTCTGTTATTTATAACTTCATGTATAGTGGTCTCAATAATTTCTTTCGAAACATTATTATACTCAAGACGTACTCCAATACCTAATTTTACTACATTTCGTACATGATATCTCTGATCCCATAAAATGGGTATCCCTATGAGTGGAATCCCATAATAAAAAGCCTCTTCTGTGCTCTGAAGGCCGCCTTGGTAAATGAATAGTTTGATATTTGGATGAGCTATGAGCAAGAAGATTAACGCAAGCTGCAGAGATTACTTGTCCTAAGATAAAGGTATAAAGATGAACTTAAGACATTTGCATCCGTGAATTATACCGAGAATGCTTTGCTGCGGAAACCAATTCGATGACAGTATATTTTTACATTTCCAGGGTAATAGATCAGAATCATATTTCCAAATGACTTTGTATGGTAAGGCGCAGAATGTGTCAACAAATACTTCGAGAATCCTTTTATAATTTGGTAACTCCTTCCATTTAACATTGGTCCCAAGACTCATATAAATAAATCCTTTTTTCGCGTCGTCAAGAAACTGCTTTATATTCTAATGAACATAACGAGACTAATGGTTACATGAACGTATTGTATAACAATATAGAGCGTTATTGAATTTTACTTGAATAGATCGAGAAAATTATGTATCTCTATATATGTATATATCTATATACTTCTGGTAGAGGATCCGGTGTTTTTGCGATATGTAAACCATGGAAATATATAACATTCGGTTGTTCAGGTTTGCCATGTAAAAACGCTGGATGTCTATTTACGAGATATATGCTCATGTTTCTCGCTATATCACTGATATGCGGTAAATCTTCTCCTAAATACTTTTTCGCGAGCGCATCCTCTACAGGAACAAATTTGTTCACCCAAGCGTACATCTGCATCCACACTTCATAAAAGTTGACGAGTCTTCTCCAAAATGACATATTATGTTCAACTGGCGTATTAGTTTGCCAATTAGAGATATGCGATGGGAGAATCAAGGATCCAAATGTATAGCGCAAATTATTGTACATATCCAGACTTGAAATACCTGCGTATTATGTCATCGTTTATTATCTCGTGCAATATGCAGTTATAAACGTGTAATTATACCTCAAACTAAATCGTAATCTAGCTCCATTAATTTATTGATTTTTAATATTATATTATATGTATTCTCTTTTCGTTACCTATGAGAGGAGCATTAAATCTGTATGCAAGAGCATTTAGTGAAAATGTTGTGCCCTGTGCTACAATAACTGCGTCAAAATGTTCATTGCTACCAGGCATGTATAATTTTTTAAATTCTGGATTTTTGAAAACCTCACGATTCATGAAGTGCCCCGCAGTCCATAAAATACGTTCCACTGCTAAAATCGGAAATGCTATATTTGCCGCAGTGATAGTAGGATACGGCAACTTTTTAAATTCAGGAAGACCGTTATAAAAATAGTTTAAGTCGATTTCTGTATAATTAGTTAAAGAAGAATTTTTTATAGGATTCGTAGTCACTGACACAATCTCATGACCTCGTCTGTTTAATTCTAATAATAAACCACGATAAGTTATTTGATGGCTGTATGATGGAAAATTTGATATAAATAATATTCTTTTGGCATATATTGCATTATATTGCATCATCACGCACAAAACTGTCATTATTGAAAATACACACATCTTCCACATCTTTCCAGTGTTCTCAGCAAGTTGTACCGTTAAGAATGTAAACTGCGTTTACTGTCTATGTAAAAGGCTCTATATATATATATATATATATATATATATATATATATATATATATACATGTACGAATGAAATACTATTCATGACGAATATTTACAATAGATTTGAAATGTGCATAAAATATATTTTGGGATAATTATCTAGTTGTATATACATTGAGCATCGAATGATTATTTAAATAAGTATAAGTATACATAGTAGGTAAGTATGTCAAAGAATCATTAAGCACTAACTGAACTACTTTGTTTGTTGAACGCATTATCAATTGTAATGCGGATCGCTATTATAGTGTGGTTGGACAATTTCTAATCGATAATCTAAATCTTTAATGCAATTTCGATACCGATTAAATGTTCATTTTAATTAGCCCTTAGAGAGAATTAAATATATTTTAAAAATTTTTGTAATATTTTCTTAACTATATCTTTAACTGTCGTGTACGATATTCTTTTATTATACATTATTGTACAATTTTGCGTCCCGATCATTTTTGACTCGCTTTCAACAGTAACAAGATTTTCAAAACTACAAATTTAACTCGCGATATTGCGTAAGATAGTGACAATATATAGATAGTATATTAATTTATTTGTTTTTTTTTCATCTATTTATCAATATTTTTCTTTCACGGTAAATTTATGTGTTCAAACAACCGTGTTATAGTGATTAATGCGATCGTTGGCTCTTTACAACGTAAGTACCGCCGTGTCGGATATAAAATCGTTAAAACGGACGTGTGGACATTCTCATAAATCTGTCGGTACCATAAATTCATTGTTGAGATATATTTAAAAGCGTGCTGTCTCTGGTAACAGACGGCGATAAGTTTTCTCAGGTCGCTCGTTTCTCCATCTCCTGTTTTCGTATCGACTAAAGAGGCCGTGTATCTTAATAAATTGCGCATTAGTTGCCAGCCTCTCCGACACCACCCACATCGTGTGTACTGATTTCATAATTTGGAAAGTTCTACTATTTTACGAATTATTTACGTAGATATATCACGAGAGGAAATCGAACTTTCGTCTGCCGGCCATGTCGGTGTTGTTTGCCTATTGTACTCCCCGGCCGGAAATGAGATACCGGATTTATACAAAATAATCCAAATATCGGTTTCATATTTGTTCGAAAAAGTTTATCGTCGACAGAAAGTCGATATTAATTTTTAATAAACATTCTACTGCGCGTATTGCACACTTTTATACGGTAATAGCACGGATTACATCCTTCATGTTATAATATTTCATTTATAATTTTATTTAAATAATCATGCTTTGAAAGATTATGATTAATATTTCATTATTAATTTTAGATTATCAATTTGATACATATCAAGCATATTATTTCATAAATTTGAATACAAGTCAATATCGTCAAATCTGATAGAAAAGAGTTTTAATAATTTATTCATATTTCTCTGATTAAAAAGCTCAATATATCTCATTAAGAAGACACTCCATGATGTATTTTGTAGCATATAGTTGTTCGATTTTCACATGTACAGGTTTTATTTATTTTTAAAATAGTATAGTACCCTTCACGACGATATATGCGATCGCGAGTATTACATGCCAATAGGTTTCTGCTGAAAAATATTATATTTCTCGCAATGCCACGTTAAGCACACATCCTCGGATTGACGCTTTCTTTTATTAATTCACGTTATCCGGAAAAGCAGCGCCGCGATGTGCATAAGCACCTGCGGCGTTTTCCTCTAGTTCCCGTCATGTGAACATTATGAGGCTGCCTCAGTATAGCGGCTGTCGGAAGCTACGACGAGAAAGACCGCGATATGAGTGCGCCGAGAATCCGACGTTTTGCATTATAAAGCCGGTGGAAAAGCCGGGGAAGAATTCAGGAGGACGTCAATAAAATCCGCTTGCGCGATGCCTAGTTGTTCTCCTAACGCGTATTCCATGACGGTAGGAGAGTGACAAGCGATTTTCGATGAATGGAAAAGGACTCTTTACGTTTTGGAGATCCATTGTAATATCGACACGCGAATTATTCTCCAAGATGACCGCCACGTGCTTAGTTATCGACGTCGATGGGACGGTTATTGTTTCTTTGAGAGAAGAGCACCGGGTTCTTCTCTTCTTTCACAAACCACAAATAACATACGATTCCGTTTGAAAAACTCTGTATCACGATATCCTTTGTATCCGCCATTCGACACCTTTCGGCATTCGCTCTTGTTTGTTAACATGGCCATCGAACTAGACATGACGCACCGCGCCAAATCAAATATTGATACATCTTTCGGCGTAAAATTTTTTACAATCGTGGACCTCGGTGAAACGTGGATTTACAAGGCGTTCGAGTTATATCGTAAAAGGCTCGTATCCTTAATTTGTGAATTAAAACTTTTAGAATATTCATTAGATTACAAGAGTAATCGACTGCATTATCTATTCCGGGAAATTTGCGGTTGCGTGCTCTGCTTTTGGTGTTTCGGTAACAATCTAATTTATCTTTGCACATGTACGTCATGAGCACCAGATCAAAATTTCCAAGTAATATTAAACACCTGTCAAACTAGGGACAGCAAAGGCAGATTGCGGTATCATGGTTTGGTGCCGTGTACGAGGTATATGGCCCAACGAAATACAGTTACGAGTGCTTTTCGGGATATTATGTTTGAGTTCGTTCGCAATATACGCGTGCGAACTTTACGTGGCGATGTTAAAGTAATGATAGCGATTGTGAGTATTAAAAGGCAACTACGAATATTCATTCGAGGACGTTAAAACTGATAAAGGTGTCGAAGTAAGTCAATGCCAAAAAGATAGCAGAATTAGGTTTACATGTATTTTTTATTTTCTAATTATATTTTCTGTAGTAAAATAAAATGTTCTCTCTCGAATTATTCGAAAGTATTTTTCCTCGTTTATATCGCGTTGCTGTGTTTGCAATCTACTTTTGCGTGGAACACGTTCGAGAGATATCGTCCCGATTGATTAATGTTTGTTACATCATCTTTAATATAAGGCAAGGTACAAAGCGTAGACGGGGTAAAGAAATCTGGCCGGGAAGATAAGAATTCATCTAATTGAAGTATTTTAATTATTCCGTAGTTAAAAGGAAGTTCAAGGCACGAGTGAATTTTAGTGAGTATCAGGAACTTTAACTCGGACGACTCGTCGACTATTAAAAGGTAGTTAAATAAAATACCAGCTACCTAAGGAAATTACAAACGGAACGAAAGTATAATTACTGAGAAGAACATTATATAAAATTCAGCGTTTAATTACGATTTCCGTTATACTGGGACATGGAATGGCTGCGTTCTGCTTGGCGTAGAATAAAGAAAGCTTCGTTGACAAACGTTATTTATCTTAGTGCAAATAAGGAAACATTACTCGAGAATAATACTGGTAATAACGCGTTCTTAACTTTTATAAAAATATAAAACACCCGTTATAAAAATACGTGTGCGCATCTTTTTTACTTTTACAAGTACAAATATGTGTTAATGCATATGCATCGGTAAAATATCAACATTGTTTAAACATCACGTCAATGTCAAACGTGTAACGCGCATGTGTTAGATATCGGCAAACGTTATCTGCACGCCACGTTGATATAGTCAAAATGCACAACGGCGCATTGGGAATACCTAAATAACTATAGTATATACGACCGCATTCGTATATTTACTATTCGGCCATTTGACAGATTATAATCTTGTTTGCGATATATAAACGGGAATATAAAGTTATCTAAATAAACTTGACTCTGAGCAACGCTACGTCGCAGTCGGCGCTAATGCGGTTACGATTTTGAGATTAAGCGCTGTATGACATTACGCGAAATCCGCGCTTAATAAGGTCTCTTCAAGACGCGACGCGGCGAGAGAGATCTCACCGCAATTTATCTCTGCCGTGTATATCCATCACGGTCAGTGATTCGATCACGGGACTGAGACGGCGGCCGTTTGTACCTTCGATTCCGTCATTAAGATAACACTCATGGTTTATTCAGATGACCACGTGCTTGAGAGCGAGAGCAAGAACGGGAGCAAGAGCGAGACAGAGAGAGAGAGGAGGGGAAGGGATGTTGCTACCGACAGCGTATCCGCACGAGGTCGATCCTCGAGAGTCACTTGCTCATTCAGTCGATTACGTCGACCCGCAAGTATAGCCTTCCCTATGACTAAGAGACCCATAATCCCGCCGTCGCCGTGCCATTAGATTATTATTTATCTAATATTTGTGTTATCCTAAAATATCAGTTGACCCATCGGTGTTTAAGTTCAAATATAAGAACCTTTTCGATAAATATATGATATGTATTCGGCAAATACATTATGGCAATATTATATCCCATATGAGTATATTGCTGACTACTTTTTGAGTATTTTTACCGAAACAGTAATGTCAGTAATGTCTTTACTTTAGCGATATTTGTTAGATGAAAAAAATTTTTTTTTATTTATTATAATTTATTTATTATAATAATTATAATAATGTCTTTCTTCTTATATGTGTAGAAATTTGAGCATAATCTTGCCAATTGATTGATCATATTGAAAGACGTATGTAGACAAGCAAATGAAAATTGTTAGCTTCGGTAAACCAGTATCCCAGAGGCATTCATCTAACGAGTGGGTGGTTTCGATCAACTCCATTCGTCTCTTTGTTCATGAAAGCTTTCTTCTAAACCTTGCAGCCCTCAAGGATATCTTTAATTAAACCTTATCCAGAGTAGCAACAATACTGACGGAATACAGAATAACTTTTGACGGCCAAATTTCCTATACGAAAATTACCTATCCAATTTTAATTAATCCTTCTTATTATACACAAGTTTAATGATATATTATATATTTCGGTAGTTTATCAGTTGACTATATATTTGAATTTCATATTACTATATATATATATATATTCTATATATATATTCTACTTATTATACACAGGTGTTTAATAATGTATTGTATCTCAAATAATTTATCATATTATGACTGTATATCTTCATGTTACTATATATGTACATGTATATCTTTTTTCAAACTTGCGTACT